ATGTTTCGACCTTGTCATCCACAGAGTCAGAAGATTGACCAATGTATCACGCTACACGCAAGAAGAGAAACTACAAGCAGTGTCGAGGAAACTACCGTGTCGATATCAATGTCTTTTGACTATTCTTGCTTTGTCTCCCTTTACACGGAAAGAATGCTCTCTTTGGCGGGCTGTGGCACGGAAGTTGAAGGAGATGCTGTCTCACGCACATTCTAAACCGTATCTGATATTAAATTCTTACCTTGGTGTTATTTTTTAGCTTTGCTCGTGTACGCATGAGTATTTTGTACTTTTTATTTCAATATACCTTTTGTTTGTTTCGTATATGCGATGTGCGGTATGCCGGAGAGCTATCGGCTTCTCTGAATCATCTCTGCCTTCCAACATGTATTCAAGGGGCGGCGAGTAGTAGCAGCTCCAGAAGCAACCGGATTTTGTTATAGTAGGATTATTCGAAAGCTAGCCATATTGTGTGGAAGGTTCTTAGTAAGGAGAAAATGGGGTTGATAGTACAGTCAGACATATAATTGCTCGCAATACTGCTATCTGCTTGCTGCTGAATAAAGTTGTTATGTCATTGACCGAAGCGCTACTCTCGGTGAAGCTATATCAGTTTAAGCAGCGTTTTATAGTGTCATAGACGAGCAACATATACGGGAGCCTTATCCAGTTTCATGCGTACCAGCACAGCACGCCGTTTCACTAAGCCAGTTATCAGCTCTCCTTCCTCCTTGGATGGTTTGATATGTCAGTTGAGACTATACAACAAGAGCAGCAAATAAGACGTGCGTGCGAGTATAGAGTTCCTGAATGGACTTTTTTTTTTGAAACAAGCGCCCTAACAAAAAGACGGTAGGGGGGTGCGAGCAAATGAACCGATCCTGAACGCCTATTTCCCGTACCACATGAGCCATGTAATGTTTGACAAAATAATAACAACCGAGGAGGTAAAGAAGAGTGATGGGAACCAGGGGGGGTATCATCATCGTTCATCGTTCATCGTCCTCCTCTGCTGAAGCCACCACCACCCCGTCCACGGCCGCCGCCAAAACCACCACCGCCTCCTCCTCTGCTGAAACCTCCACCGCCACCACCACGGGGACCCCCCCTGCCACCACCAAAGCTGCCGCGTCCGCCCCTCGAGGGACCACCACGTCCGCCGCCGAACCCACCGCGACCTCCACCACGAATGGGACCACCCCGACCACCACCAAAGCCGCCTCGGCCACCGCCGCGACTCGGCTTCTTGACCTTGGGGGCGCCGGGCGGGGGCTTGGGCTTGGGCAGGAAGCGCTCAAAGGGGAGGACCTTCTCGGCGCCGATGTAGAACTTGTCGCCGGGCTTGAAGCTGCCGGCCTGGATGCCCTCGGAGGGCTTGATGGTGAAGTAGACGTTGTTGATGGCGCCGAGGACCTCGTCGACCTTGCCGACCGAGGTCTTGTTCTCGAGGAAGATCTGGGCGTTGAACTGCGGGATCTTGTTCTGCGCGCTCACGCTGCTGCACACCATCTCGCCCTCGCAGGCGTGCACGAACGAGCCCATCTCGAGGATCGTGTCGGGCGGGCCGAAGTCGCGCTGTCCGAAGCCGCCGCGGCCTGGGGTGTTTTTCAGGACATATTAGCTTTTTTTTTTTTTTTGGCTGTTTGGTGTGGTTTTGTCTCTTTTGATGCTTCTTTTCTCTGAGTAGGGAAGAATAAGTAGAGAAAGAATAGAGAAACTCACCACCACCTCGACCACCACCAAAGCCTCCACCTCCACGGCCACCTCCAAAGCCGCGTCCACGCGGCGCTCCTCTCGACATTTTTTTCAATTTCTTGTTTATTTGCGACCTGGACTTTTGCGTATTCGTAGGTTCTCTCGCCTCAGCTCGTACGGTCGGTCAATTGGGACACCCAGCGTTCGCGTATGTTGGCGCCGTGTGAATAAGGGTAGATTGGGAGTTTTTGGTAGATAGCTCAGGATTTTTTTTCTTCCAATTGGCGACTATGCCTAAAAGAGAGACAGAGAGCTTCAAGTGCCCACTTTGCAGTGTGGGGTCTTTGTGGCTTTATACATACTCCCGAGAACTTCCTCCCGTCTTAAGTTACGGCTTCTGTGGCTGTGCAACCTACTTAGCTTCACAGACACTGGCAGTACTAACATGGGAGAACAGGATTCGAGTTGGAGCTGGCGATGAATGTAAAAATGCAACTACTGTTTTTATGGCCTTTAAAAAAAAAAAAAAAAATTATATGATTCAAGGAATTTTACAGCGCTTTGGAGGGCCATGGAGGAAACGACCAGTCTATGCCAGCAACAAGACTATCATAAGACACGCAACGTAGGATTGGAGATAGATAGTCTCACTTTGACCATAATAATCTAATGGGGAGCAACTAGGCTCTTGACGGCTCGGAACGCTTCCTGACCCTCCTTGGATAGTTGAGGCTATATAGTCATCTCACCGGTATTCCAAACCGCCAACCTCTGGCTCAGTGTCTCAGATAAGCGAGGGCCAAATGGCCTCACGCGAGATAATTGGCAATACTACCGAAACATGCAGCCTCATATGCAGCGCGTGTGGCATCTCCCGTCCAACAAAGGTCGGGACAATTCAGGACTACACATGTCGTAGCCGCATACTGGCAAATTGTCTCGGCTAATCTAGCATATCCTACTAGTTCCAACTATATTCGGAGACTGTAGACGTGGTTCACCGTCTAAGCTATGATTAAATGGCGTCTTTAGTCGTCGGAGGCTTCTCTGGACTGATAGCCCAGTCCCTTCCTTTTCCCTCGCGGACTTGGGTTTTTGGTAGGCAGATATTAATCGATGATCCGAGACATGCAGCAGCCAGACTCCAGTCGTATATGGGTGACAGATTCATTGGAAACCGCGTGAGAGACAAAGGTGACGAAGAAGAGCGGGAGGAAGAGACTTCTTACCTGGTCTCGGAATTTATAAAGTCCCCTCATTCCTCATGCTCGGGGAAGAGTCTTTCATGCAGACCAAAGCAACCATCGAGACTCAAGTTCTTCATTTAGCATAACACCGACTTCCAGTCTAATTTCATCGTCTGAAAGCAGTGGACCGCGTGACATTGGACCGTTTTGCAATAATGCCTGTGGACGTAGAAGATTTCAGACGCAAAATGCAGCCATTGCTGGCCAAATTCGAAACAGACGGTATGTACTTTATCTGGGATACCGTACAACTATATTTATATGATACGGGACCTTCTCAAGGTGCCCGGTCAATCCGCTCCTCGTATGTCGTTGCATACTGATCGTTGCTACTAACGTGTAGTGGGATACACTGGTTTCGTGGCAGGCAACCACCAAGAGGTTCTCGACGAAATGCACCTCCAGGCAGCTTGTACAGGCATACCGTACACCAAAGATTCCACTTCATTGAATCAATTCATTGCTGCGGTTAACTATGCGACTGTGAGTCTTTCTACGCCATTATCATTGCTAATGGAGTTGGCATCTCACGCGGTTCTTGACATAGTTTGGTTACTCTTCCCTCCCGCTCCACGTTCGAGTCTACATTGGTATCCTTAATTGGCTAGCTATTACAATCGATGACCAGGCTGGCAAGGATCCAGATGAATGGATTCAGTTCGCGCCTCGGTATCACGCTGCTGCCAAACACCCCAACAATGCTACTGCTCAAGCTTTCGATAATTACCTTCGGAGGACTTATCAGTACTATCCCACCGTAGTAGCCAACTACATCGTGGCAGACGCCATCAGATTTGTCAATGCAACTTGCATAGAAAGAGATGTGGCTCAAATTACTCGTACTGCTGGAGGGCAGAAGGTAAGTCATTCCTAGAGTTTTTTCCTTCCTATGATGGCTATCGGAACATTGAACCTGTCTCGAAATCTCGACAGCATGCGGAAACCTTACAAAACACAGCTGTCTCACATGACATCTCACTTATTGACCCCAGCAAGCTACAGTGGCCCGACTATTATCGAACGATGAATGCTTTCGCGGAAGGATCTGTTCTCCTGTTATTTCCAAAGGAGGTATGCCCTGATATGTCACGCTTCATAGAGTGTCTTCCGGACATGATGTTGTACGTCGGCCTTGCCAATGACGTGCTTTCGTAAGTTCCCTATACCACTACTGGACTGAAATTTGGCCTGCTCACTAACTGGTTTGCCTCGCCAGCCTCTACAAAGAGGAGTGTAAGGCTGAGAAGGACAATTATTTACATACAAGGGCACATTATGACGGCGTCGGTACAATAGAAGTGTGGGAGACAGTCGCCAGAGAGGTTGTGGACGCACATCGTCGTGTCCAAGCCGTTCTTGAGGGAAGGTCACCTTATGGTCAATTATGGAATGACTGGGCCATGGGCTATATAAAATACCACAAGATCTCGGCGCGTTACAGGCTGCATGAACTCGGCCTCGGCGACAGTTCACCCGAAAATTAGGCTGGCCATCGGCTAGTCTGCGACCTGTTGTAAGTAATTGTATCCTATAGGCTATGTTTGGGAAAATGTCAGCATTCAATACTAACATTGAAGTCGGTTCTCTGGAGAGGGTTATATAAGGATTGAAGGGGTCCTTATTCCTAAGAGTATTTTATGATACGGGTTGTATCAGATACCATGGTAATAAAAAACTAGGAGGGAGAAAAGAGTCAACTACAAATTGAGTATCTCGGCGGTAAATAACAAGACTAGAACTGAAGTGTAATTTTTTTCCTGTTGGTGCGCCTCCCTTTATTACTTATCTCCCTTGGATAAATAATATTAATCGTCATTACTGCTGATTTTCAACATATTGGAAGTCTGGACAACACCTAGCAAACCACCTACTTACTTATCTAAGGTTTGATTGTAAAGGTTGAGAGTACGTACGTGAGCGATCACAGCTTTTCTTAAAGTGTAAGTATTCATTGAGGGATGCTGTTAATGATAGTAGCGATATTACAGCGTAAGAAACAATTTTCCTTGTGATATAAGTAATCACAGCCTCCTGTATAAAATAAAAAGGAAAGGGAATTGAACCCAACCCGATTTGAACGGATGACCTTCTGGAGGCAGTTGTCTACATCACTTTGTCGATGATGATTATTAACACTGGAATCAGATGCTCTACCGCTGAGCTATGGGTCCATTTACTGCCAATGGTGGACAATGACACCAACAAAATTTAAACAAATAGACGCAAAACACCACCAAAAACGTCTTGATAGGCACTCATGGGTCTTTGAAAAATGTGGGTTTTTGGTTTACATAGATAGGTACTTTAGGTAGATCCAAATTATTTAATTTAGAAACATGACAATAGACTTGTGTTTCCGCTCGTGGTAATGGTTTCTGTTGTCGGAAGGACACGGCTCGCACCAGTAGCGAGATGAGATATTTACCAAGGGCATGATAGATTTCTAAGCATGTTGTTTGTCGGGTCGCAAAGGGCGGTGTCCGTGTTAAGACAGTAAGATGCAGTAATGAGGCGCCAGTCTGACTCCTAATTTTATTTATGCTGTTGGTTCTGGCTGTGAAGCAGGGGTGGGTGTGGTACCCTTCTGTTTGGAAATGAAACTGATCTCGACACAGCTCGTCCCTTGAAGTGGAAAGTTTGTGTTCTACAAAGTCCAGTCCTTCGTCGGAAGTTGACCTAAAATACATGCCTTGATAGGTAGGCCTACACAAAGCACGCTACATGCAGCCGAAAGCAAAGTACCTGGCTCGCCTGGGATGCTCTGGTTGGGGGTTTGGTGGTGGCGTAAAGCAAGAAATACTCTGGACATGATTGGTCAGTCATGTGATGTCATGGCCACCTCCACCTCTACGCAAATGAAGATAGGGCTAGGGACAGTAGGGCAGTAGAGGGGGTGGATATGACATGGTGTATCCACCTGTATGCTCCAGGGAAGTACCTCGGTAGTACTAGCGGTTTGTAGTGTAGGTATTATGTAGGTGGCCAGAACGCGCCCAGACTCGCAAATAGCCGGCAAGAAACTAGTAAAAAGCTTCGTCCGAAGTCTAGTTATTTTGCTAGACGATCGCGTTCCCTGACATTGAGATACTACCACCTCGACTACATCATCAGATAGTAAATGTCTATTGAGAACGGCTCCGAGGCATGGTTGGAGGCGGGGCCGTAAACACGCCTCCGGAAACAAAGAGGCAGATAGCGCACAGTATGTACACGCACTATATGTTTTATATTTCTGCCTATTCTGTTGTATACGGACAGAATACGGAGTATTTGCACCGCTGCCTAATTGAACCTGCGTGATGATTACAGTATACGAAGAAAATGATCGGCAGATTCTACAAATATGTAGAACTGTACAAAAACAGAACCCAATTTGGACAAGCATGGTGGACAGCTGCAGGGATGACTTACACATTCCCAGCTACCCCAACTACTTACAGTCTACACAGTAAGTACTGTACAAGAAAGAGGCTGCTGCATGTGCTTTAGTGGTAGGCAGTGAAATGTAATGCATGTATGCAGTTAGGTACATATACATAAGCGCATCATCTACTTTTACTTATAAAAATAGAAATGAGAAATACATGTACAAAACCAACAATAACCCAAAATACCTAAAGAAGGTAGGATGTATTCAGGATGTGAATGCGCTCGCTGTTTTCTTGCCTTTAGAAAAAGGGAGAATCTGCAAAAGGGCAGAAGAAGAAAAAAGGGACACAAACACCTGCTTCCTTACCTAGCGTTAGCTAATGTTTTTTTGTACTGAACATGTACAACAGCTGTGTAGGTACATGGGATATGGGTACATGTACACATTGGAAGTTAACGCTGACATTCATCCTGTACGTAACATTTATCCTCTCCAGTTTCCATTTGCCTGATACCTACCAGAACCTACGTACAGTACACTAGACTACACCACACAGCCTCCCTTCCTTTATACGCAGTATTGTGATGATCGTTTTGCAACTGGCTACAGATCACTTCACTAGCCCCTCGCCCCTCTATGCTCAACTACTTCTTTCGAAAGTCACAACAGTGCAGCGCCACCTTGGCGACTAGGTACCAGTACTGATATAGGTAGTATAACCACCTAGTACACGCTATACCACTGTTGGTGTTATTTTGTTGGTATGTGTCGCTAGCCAGGGACTAAAATATCCATCTCCACATCTACACCCACACCAACTCAAACCTGGTACCTAGCACTAAGCCGTCAGTCGACCAAATTCCTGGTAGCATACTTGAACTAGCGGATATCAGCCATGAAACATGGACCCGAGTCCGGTGGTTCTCTGATTTTATCTCTGGTCGTTTGCAAGTCGAGCTGCCATTGTCGACGCGCTCTGCAGCAGACAAGGCGACGACGATACCCACGATGAAGCACGACGACCGGGACATCGAGGCCTCGGCCCCGCTGGCCAAGGACGACGGCAATGGCGATGGCGACAGCGACAGCGCGCGCGGCGACTTCGACTTCGACCTCGACCTCGCCCACGACGACGCCAACGACGCCTACAGCAATTGGGCGACGCGGTGCCGCACGTTGTCGAGGCAGCTGTGGCGCCGCCTGCAGGTGTCGTGGCCCAGCTGGCTGCCCATGCTCAAGTCGAGCCAGCTGAACCCGCGATACCTGGCCTTCATCTTCGGCGTCTCTTTTATCACCACCGTCCTGATCGTCACTTCGTATGCCCCGCCCAGGCTGACCGGCGAGTCCTCCTTATCGACTGAGGCGACGCCGACAGCAACCACAGAGACGGAGACAGAAGTGGACGTACCTGAACCTACCCACACAGGTGTGCCTGGCCCGAACCCCGAATTCTGTACGACCTGGCCTGTCGATGCTTCTGGCGAATACAATCTCCATTCGCACAATCGCTCGACTAAACTCGAGCAGTACAGCGTTGCGCCAGAAGGCGGCTGGCAAAAGCCGTCGGGCTTCAAGATTATTGCCATGGTCTTCTTTGGGCGGAAGCGATATGTCGATATTCTGGACTGTTATCTCCAGCAGAATCTTGCGTCCCACGGCGGATATGTCGACGAGGTATGGTTCATGGTCCACACTGAGCGGGAAGAAGACATTACGTGGTTGGACGGCCTCATAGAGGACACACCGGAATATAAGAAGGTTGGTCAGGAAAACTGCCAGTCGAACAACAACCAATATGGATGCTTGTGGGAGCACGCTACTGCAGATAACACCCTGTACATTAAACTCGACGATGACATTGTAAGCTGCATCCCATATTTCCATCCGAGCACGTTCGTCTTCACCGGACGGATCGGCGGTATCTTGTGCCCGGCGCGGCGAGCATTGACGAGCTAACTCTTCGTGCCAGATCTATATCCACCAGGACGCCATACCTCAGCTTGTGCACACGCGACTTGCTGTGCCGCACGCGTTCGCGGTCTCGGCGCATCTAGTCAATAGTCCCATCACCGGAATGGAGCAGTTTCATCACAACGCCATCTACCCCTTTGTGCCAGACCCGAATAAGAAGCCAAGCCGCAAGGCGTCTGAAACATGGCGGATGTCTGAGCTTCCTAGATATCCAAAGAACAAGTTGAACAAGTTGCAACAGGCGAACGATGAGAGCATCATGTTTCCTAAGGTGCCATACCGTGGCCACCCATTTGTACTACTCTCAGAGGATAATTTTGACCTCCTCCATACGTCAATGGGTCGCTATGACCAAGACCCTGGCCCCGACTTTATCGCGTTTAGTCCTGTCTGGAAGTCATGGGCGATGGCCGCTCAACAACAGTACTCTCTGCTGTATAACCTGGAGAAAAATCAGATCTCTCGTTATTTCTTCGGGCGACCAGCGGCATATCCCGAAAATGCTAAAGGACCGGACACAAACACTACCGTATCGGCGCCTAGAATAGAGGGACAGGTGGTGTTGGGCGGCGAGCAAATATTTGATACTCAATTTCGACGCTACAACCTGAACTTTTGTGCCGTCTGGGGCTCTGATATCAAGAAGCATCTGCCCATGAATGATGATGACGAGGACGCCATCACAAAGCTCATTCCGAAGGAGACGGGCCGGCCTTTTATCATCGATACGCGCGCGGTGGTTGGTCACTTTAGTTTCTTCACCCAAGCTGAGGAGATACGCCAGACCGATCTGCTAGACAGGTGGCGTGCATTCGCAAACGAGGCTGTTTGCAAGCGGAATAACCTCAAGAAACCCTGGGATCTGCGCTGCCCCAAGTTCGCAGAAGACACTGGTCCCTTGAGCCGGGGAAAATCATGGGCAAGGGGTATACTATAGAAGATGGGATAAGGCCATATTTGTTGCTTTGAACAAACCGCCCATAATGACTGGCGGTATCATAGCATATGGGCTAACTAATTCCGAACGATAGACTGGCAGACGGCGTTTTCTGGTGCTTTATAATTCACACATGCATACGCGAAACAGCATAGCCTAGTAAGATCTGCAATATTCTGTCGAATTCGGGGTTGGGCAGTAACGGGAAAAGAAGAGGAAGACAACATACGGCTCAAAGTACCTATCCGTCTCTTTGCTCCGGCGGACTGGGACACAAGATGCCGTCACCTCCGCAGAAGGGTAACGAAGGGCAAAAGGAGAAGTGTATACGCATCATGATGACATGTATGATAAGACGAAGAATGTGGGGATGTTAGGGGCTTCGCCTGGTACAAGTTATTTCAAGCTTTGGGTTGGGATTTTTAGAAGGGGAGGGGAGGGGAGGGAAAACTTCTTGTGATCTTGCGCGGTGTGTCCTAAATTCTTGATTAAGCTGCGAGACATCATGAGCCGGGTTATCGGACGGAGCTGAGATCTTCTAGATTAGATATCCCGCGTGACGAAATCGATTCTTGAATGCTGCCATATTTCCTTCCTGTCGACTTTGAGTGAAGTGTTCCATATCACTTATATCTGATGTGGCTTTTTTTTTTCTTTTCTTGTCTCTTATGCTGCCTTTTTAAACTTGGTGGAGTTGATGCGTCGAAGTTAGGGGATTCGTTTGGAGGCCATAGTCTACCAATGTTGTGTGTTCCGTTATCAGTTCATCTCGAGGTGGCTAGCTCACCATCTTCAATCTACGTAAGTAGTAATTAGGGATGAAAGCACATTGGAAAAATTGACGTCCCACCTTAAGTATAGCATCTAAGTAGTTTCACAGGTATGGTTATCTC